TCTCCTCTATCCATCTTCTATCCGCCTCCCCCCTCTCCCTATTTATTTCAGAACCCCCTTCCCCTCCCCCATTTCTGATGAAGGGTCTAGGCCCGAAACGTCAGCCTTTCTGCTCCTATGATGCTGCTTGGCCTGCTGTGTTCATCCAGCTCTGCACCTTGTTGTCTCGGATTCTCCAGGATCTGCAGTTCCTACTTTCTCTGGGTGTTTTGCGTTTAATTATTAGAAGGGCACTTCTACTCCCACCATAACACATTGGGGACTTGTGTTTCAGTTTAATTATCAGAGGGGTTCCAACTCCTCTCCATAACAGAAGTTATATTGAATACATTGAGCTCGAGTAACACTTCACATATAAGGAAGTATCGGTGCATATCAAGGGAGGCATTACTGGTTAAACACTTAAAAAAAGTTTTTTCATCCATGTGGAACCATTCCTTACTAACTGTCTTAAATGGTCTTTTAATAAATGTGTTATATTCTGCAGTTACAAACAACAAGTAAATTAGCAAATGTTGATCAATTACTTCAAAACAACAGACTCTGATGCCCAAAAGGGGACAAAAATAGGCTGGGCATGTAGTTACACAGCACTGGCCATTTTAATGTTTGGATAAACAACACTTTTTCACTTGCATTGAAAGAAGAAAACAATTAAAGTGCATGAAAATCTAGAAGAAAAATCTCCAAAAAGTGAATGTAAAACATCAGTAACGTATCTCTCAGTGATTCCATTTCCTCAGAAACTTTGAAATTTATTTTAAGTCAAATGCATTTCATTCATTTTAGGTGCAATTGTATCTCATGATCATGAATCTGAAATTGAAACTTAGGTTTTCAAAAGGTCCAGTAGATTATTAGTTATACAAGTGGTATCTCAACCACTATACATTAACACAATTGCTGCAACGCACAAGGCCATTCCACACATTGTGTTTGCACCAACTCTTCAACTGATCAGCTGACTTAGTGCCTTCTTCCCATAACTCAGCAATGGTTCTTATTTCAGATAATTGTCAAATCCCCTTCTGTGCCTTGATTGAAACTGCCCCATCCTGCTCTCTTAGCCAAGGAGTTATAGACACAAGTCACTCACTGCATGGAAGATTTATCTCATATCGCTTTTACTTTCATTAATCAATAAGCTGTTCGCTCTTGATCCTTTCATAATAGGAACATTTTCACCCTATTTATTCTGTCCAGAGGTGGTACTTGAAAAGTTGGACATCCACTGCCAAGATTTTCATCACTTCAATTTACAAATAAATTTTTTCTCCTACAACCCTTCTAGCTCACATTGACATTCTTCTTCCTCTTCAGACTTCACATGGAATCTGAATTACTCCACAGGAGATGGCATGAATTTGATTTGCAGAACTGTCTCCTTCTGTGCCTTAAATTTCTCTGACTCAACTCCAGCACTCATTTCTTTGAATCATTTATATGCTGGTACTTCTTCAACACCTCTCTCTAATTCAAGTTGGTGAAATTGCTGTTATCTCCATAATCAGGCTGTTGTTCTCCCTTTTAGTTAATACTGTCATAGTCTTTCCTCACACCTCCCACAATTGTCAAACTTTGTGAACTTACGTGATGATTGCACAATTAATGTACGATAATATTCAAATATTTTCCTTTCATCTAAATTAAGTTAAACATTTAGCCAATTTAAGGATTTACTAAGACAAATACACTGATTCTAAGACAAATACACTGATTCTAAGACAAATACACTGATTCTAAGACAACTACACGGAAAGGTTCTGGATTGAAATTATGAAACTATGCAAACTAACCCAAAGTTAGCTCAAAATCAAGTACAAGGTTGGGAATTTCTTCTTTTGTACTTGCTGGTGCAACACTACACAACAAATAAAACTAATTTGTGGAAACCGATGACAAAATGTAAAATCCTCTTTCAAAAATAAACAGGCCACACTGTGAATGGAATAGGGGGCAGAGTGGTGTGGTAGTGATGTGACAATAAAAATGATTCCTGTCACAGAGTCTCAAATAAGAAAAAAGATACATTTCTACTAAGCCATTGGCAAAATATTTGATTAAATTAAAAGGGTCCAAGAGAATTTGCATCTTAAATAAAGTAAAAAGTAAAATTGACATGGTGCTACTGGACCAGAGGGCTGTTCTGTCATTAAACCAGTGGTGGTTTAACCTGATGGTCACCTCTTGCTAAGGCAAGAGGACAGGTTGTGAAGGAGAGTCCTTCATAGTAACCTCAGCCAATGTGGGAATCAAACCCATACTGTTGGTGTTACTCTGCACTGCAAACCAGCCATTCAGCCAACTAAGCCAAACAACCCTCTGGATTTCAGTAAACTAAATGGTTTTACTTCCAGCTAAAAATATACCAAATTATAGCTGCTCAGTAAATAACTTTGAATTTTTAGTTAATATTATCAAATGCATAAACTCCAAAACTGTAAGCTAGATTGGTTTATATAACAAGTGGTTGAAACAGTTGGAATAAACAAGCTCTTATAAAATTCCAAAAATACATTACTAAAAAAAATGCTTACCCTATAGGTAAAACTCTGGGCATGGAAATGAACAGTGTGCATGTCTACTTCATTTCCCATACCCAACAAATACCAATCAACCTTCTCTCCTTTAACCATTGTCAGTCCATGAAGATTTCCATAGATCTTCCCATTGATTGCTGAAATAAAAATAATATTAAAATCTAGTAAGTTAATTTTGGAAAATGATCTTTGGCTCCACTTTTTGGGAATTTATAATCTGTATATGTCCATACCATGTATTTTATTGCTGTCCACAAATTCATCTGTTTTCTTCAATTTAGTTGGGTCCACATGGAGGTAAGTGATGATATTGTTATCCAAGTACCAGGATTCATTTTCATCATATACCATGAACAATAAAGCAAATTCCCGATCAACATCTTTCCTCATGCCATTCTTTGTGAGTACTCCTTTACGGCAGGTTACCAGAGGGCCAACCAAACCACTGTATAGATCCTGAAAAAAACTACTAAATAAATTATACAAATTACATTTTAATTGTTTTACAATCAACAATACATAGATAGTTAAATATTATGTGTCCTAAACAGCTAATGCTTCATGATGGAAGGAGATGATTGCACTGAAGGGGACGCAAAGCAGATTCATTACTGCCTGGGATGGAGCATTTCAACGATGAAGAGCGGTTGGATAAAGTTGGGTTGTTTTCTTTGGAACAGAGAAGGTTGAGAAGGGACATAGTAGAGGTGTGTAAGATTATGAGGAACATAGACAGGGTGAATAGAAATCAACTGTCCCCCTTAGTTGAAGAGTCAACAAGTGGGCATAACTTTAAAGTGAAAGGCAGGAGGTTTAGAGGGATTTGAGGAAAAATCTTTTCATCCAGAGGGTGATGGGAGTTTGGAATGCACTGCCTGGGAGGGTAGCTGAGGTAGGAAACTTCAAAAACTTTAAAAAGTACTTTGGATGAGCAAGGTTATAGGCCTAGTGTGGAAAAGTGGAGTAGCATCGGGAGTAGTATATTTTTGGCAATACAAGCTTGATGGGGCAAAGGGCCTCATCTGTACTGTATTCTTCTATAATTCTACGAATTCATATACAAGGAAGCTATTTATACTGTGCATGCCCATTAATATGATACCAAAAAGAGCGCAATTGCTATGAATTCAACCTGAAAAAAAATTAAGTTCACCTCAAATCAACAGTTCCATTCTCTTCACTTATGTACTAATTACACTCCAATGAGTTCTCAAATTTATTTATTAACTCTTGAATGCTGGTGGTGAGCTGAATATCTTGCTAGCTTTTTACTGTTATTTAAATTTTAAACATTATTTTGATGCTAATGAGCACAGCTCTGTGAATTTAAGTAAACAAAGCTCTGCTTTGTGTGACCAGAAACAAATGGGATTATAATTCAAGCCAATTAGAAAAGCTTCATCACATTCCAGTTAAATAAAGGGCGTGACAGAGTTCTTGCACTGTTACAGTTTCAAAACTGCTGTAGTGCTGGACGTGGAAATTCAGATATCAAAACAGTAAGGAATAAAAAGACGCATAGCAATGTCAAAATTGCATCAGAAACTTTTTTAAAAGCCAAAACCTATGAAACATGTGAGTTGAAAGAAACATCATGCAACATTAATTGGCGAATGTATAACGTATTAGTCCAGAATTCCTCTGCCACTCTTCTACATATTTGTTGAATAATTTGAAATAGTTGACTTAATATCATCACAAAAATAAGTAACAATGAAATTCATGTAAATGCACGAGCTATTCATATCTGACTATTTCCATTTATAGAGCAGTTGTGACATTGGGCTTATGGGCAAGAAAATAAACACCATTACATTCCGAGGAAGAGACAAGAGGAAGCATTCAACCAGGACAATAGCTAGAATTTTCAACTGCCTCAAGCCAGCATGGGAAGTGGCAAGAAAATTGGGGAAAATATGGCAAGAAATTTTAAAAGATCAGATTTTTGACATTGAGAAAAATTTCTTATTTTCTAGCTCGGTCATAGAAGACAGAGGATAGCAGTGGAAGGTTGCATTTCTGAATGGAGGGCTGTGACTAGTGGCATTCCTCAGGGATCAGTGTTGGGACGTTTGCTATTCATAATATATATAAATGACTTGGAGGAAAAATAACTGGTCTGATTAGTAAGTTTGCGGATGACACAAAGGTTGGTGGAATTGTGGATAGCAATGCGGACCATCAGAGGATATAGCAGGATATAGATCAGTTGGTGACTTGGGCAGAGAGATGGCAGATGGAGTTTAATCTGGAAAAATGTGAGGTATTAAATACATTGGAATCTCTAATCCAGATGGAAGTATACAGTAAATGGCAGAATCCTTAGGAGTACTGATAGGCAAAGGGATCTGGGTGTACAGGGACACAGGTCACTGAAAGTGGCAACACAGGTGGAGAAGGTAGTCAACAAGGCATACGGCATGCTTGCCTTCATCAGCCGGGACATTAAGTTTAAAAATTGGCAGGTAATGTTGCAGCTTTACAGAACCTTAGTTAGGCCGCATTTGGAATATTGTGTTCAATTCTGGTCGCCACACTACCAGAAGGATGTAGTGGCTTTGGAGAGGGTACAGAAAAGATTTACCAGGATGTTGCCTGGCATGGAAGGCATTAGCTATGAGGAGAGGTTGGAGAAACTTGGGTTGTTCTCACTGGAGTGACAGAGACTGAGGGATGACCTGATAAGAGGTCAACAAGATTATGAAGGGCATGGACTGAGTGGACAGTCAGAAGCTTTTTCCCAGGGTGGAAGAGCCAGTAATTGGGGGCCATAGGTTTAAGGTGCGAGGGGCAAGGTTTAACGGTGATGTACGAGACAGGTTTTTTTACATAGAGGATGGTGGGTGCCTGGAACTCGCTGCCAGGGGCGGTAGTGGAAGCAGATACGATAGCGACTTTTAGAGGGAGTCTTGACAAATACATGAGTAGGATGGGAATAGAGGGATACGGTCCCTGGACAGGGAAGGGGGTTTAGTTGTGACAGACAGCACCTCAGTGCAGGCTTGGAGGACTGAAAGGTCTGTTCCTGTACTGTAATTTTCTTTGTTCTTTAAAGTTTAAGCAGCAAATTCAAAATCTTGCTAAGGAGTGATGATGATCTGATGTATTTACATCTCATTATTAACTAATTTCACCCTTTTTTTGCAGCTCCACATTCTCACTTCCCTCCCCAAGAAAAGCTATATGGTGTCAGTTACTGACATGGAAATCAGAGCCACTTGCTTCTCTGGGCCTTTATCCAGCACGACCATCACCATATCCCTGAATATTCCATGGACACTATTCCCTTCAATCCTCTGTTTGTGCCACTGGGTATCAGCAAACCATCACTTAATCATAGCTGCTTTCAGAGCAACTCACACACCACATCAGTTCTTTAGGACTTTACTTTGGACCTCACAACAAGTTATGACCTACATAATTCTGCTAGATTGCTGGGATAGCAAGCATCTACATGTGATGCCTCAAATGCCTTTCAGTTTCCAGCCACTCTGGCTTACATTGTTTTTCAGCATATTGGCTCTATAGGTCTAATTACATGCATCCAACCTCTGTGGCTTGTGTTTTCTTTCTAAGTGGATAGGCTCTTCAGCCATAACTTGCATGCTGCCAGCTTCTGTGGTTTGCAATACTGTTTAATGCAGAGGGAGATGCAGGCAGCTTGTCATGCATTGGAGTGCTGAACAATCAAGGGGTAGATGTATCACTGCACAGCTCCTGATTACATCAATGTCACACTTACAACATTGGCCAGGACCTTACCTGGCAAACACAAATGGCCATGTCTGAAAGTCGAAGGGTCTTAAATCTTTAGTGGGATTTGTGTGGATAAAAGTCAGTTTGGGGTGCTGCCACGCAGCCAAGGGGCTCATCCAATTTCAGTTGAGGTGGATGACTGGCTGATGAAAATTAGATGCCTAGATCTCGAGATCAGTGGCCTCAGAGTCCAACAATTGGGCCTTAGACAATTCTGGAACAGATCACAGATATCATAGTTGGGAAGCAGTGGAGACATCCCCTAGTACAGGAGCAGAGCCATACTTAGTCAGGACTATTCTCTCGAGCCAGTGTGGGGGCTGGCCTTGGTCAGTCTTGGGATCTTGGGGATTCAAGGTCAAGGGGTTTGTCTAGTGACAGTCAGTGCAGTCAAGGAGGAAGTCAGGAATCAAGTCTCAGGTTAGAGTTCATTATTCTAGTAACTGAGGAAATGATAATGTTAGTAGGGAGAGGTCGAACCCGTCAGACAATTAAGATCAAGCCCCCAGACTGTTACGGAAGGAGTACAGGTCCCCTTCTAATATTTAAACTGAAAACACCCAGAGAAGCTCGTCTAATCTGTTAAACTGTTATAGAAAAGGGAAGGTTAAATCAAAGAAAATTCCTGATATTCACTTTATAAGTAACAAGTAACAATTTATTTATTTCACTCTAACAGTGAAAAAATTAACAGAATTATTAACATACTGAACAATTTCTCCTTAACTACTAACTATTCCCTAACTGAACTAAATTCTACTGGTATGCTGTTCCAATAAACACAGTCCCATTTATATAAACACAAATAATAAGAAAATAAATTAAAACTTAGTCTCTCAAAGTCTACATGCCTTTATTCTGTTGTTCTCAAGTCATAAACGCTATTCCTCCATTGATCTGGCTGTCAGGGATGTTTTCTCTGTGAAGTCTTCTGTGAGGACTCTTAGCTAGAGTGCCATGGTACCTTTTATTGATGGATGGTGCTTTCTTGGAGCGCGTAGCAATTCCTTGTGAGAGCTGATATTCAAAAACCCTCTCCTTATATACCTTGGATGTTCTTACAATAGCATTTGTCCCAGGTTGTCAAAACCATCAGATTTAAATTCAATTGGCTTTCAATCGCTAAGTGCTTGGTTTAAATTAATTGGTTGATTCCAGCAAGTTGCCAAACATCAAAACAAGTTTAAGGTTTCCAATCACACAGCCAATTGATAGATGTTTCAATTTCAGAACTGTCTGTACATCTTCAGCTGCATACAGACGCATTTCCTGTATATATATCTAAGCTTAGGAAAGCACTTTGCCTCTTAAAGGAACCACACACTCTTCTCCCTTATCATTTTTGTACAAACTAATTCTAGCTTCCTACGTTCCAATTCATGATTACTCTATACAACTTCATAACACTTAAGGAAAAGAAGTGAACCATCATTATGAAAAGACTGCTTCATTTTTTTTAAAAATCTGAACTCCATTGTCACGAGATACATAGGTCAGTAATCTGAAGTTACACATTTCACACTAGTTCTGCATACATATATAACATTAGACCATACGAGTTGTATCTTATTTACACATTTTCTTTTCAACCCGCAATGACATATCTGCAATAATATTTTTACAACCCGCAACAAGTACAATCCAAAACTTAAAAGCCTGTAACTAAGACTCCAACAAAATAATCTCATATTCTTATCCTT